ATAATATGGCACCGAGCTATCTGTCTGATCAACTTTGTCCATACAATCGTACACGTAATCTGAGGTCTGGTGATCAAAGACTTCTCTCTGTCCCCAGATCACGGTTAAAGCATAGAGGGGGGATAGAGCCTTTGCGGTTGCTGGCCCTAGGCTGTGGAACAGCCTTCCAGCCTATATCAGATCTGCACAGTCTTTAACTGATTTTAAATCATCTCTTAAAACATATTTCTTCTCTTTGGCTTTTGATTCATTGTGAGTTTATGGTATGAATCTGTGGGTTGCCCTGTGTTCTATGTCTTTGTTTGTTCAGCACTTTGGTCAGCCGTGCTTGCTGTTTTTAAATGTGCTATATAAATAAAACTAACTTGAAACTTGATATTTTGACCCACATGGTCTCAAGACGATCTAACCCAAATTTAGTGCAAAACTAATCGAAAGCTGTAGGAACATTTGTAAAAAGTAAATGCAGTCAGGCAGAATTTGGTTGCAATGAAATTAGTGTGATGACCCAAGGTATAAGGGGAAAAAATAATTTTGTTTCTATTATATTATGAAAACTGCCCATTTAGACAGGAAACAGCCTTCTAATCCATATTTACATTATGTTGAGCAGTTGGAAAATGCAAAAACCAACAACAATCATTTATACTTATTTACTTGCTGTGTGTCCCAAACAAAACTCATGGATATTGCAAATGTTTGCACATCCACTAATTATTTATTCCTCAGAAGAGCTTGTGTAGCAACCTAATAAAAACCTGATTCCACAAAACTGCTAGAAGCCAGCCAATCAGATTACAACTGGTGATTTTAGCCAGTCTGTGCCATTTGTGTGTGCAGTATGCATTAGATGGTGACTTGAAATGGCACTACAGGGCTGCTGGCTCATTAGCTAGAAGTTGTATCAGTGAACAAAACACCTCCAGCATCAAGTGTTTATATCTCAGTTGGATGGCTGCATGGGAAATGCCTCAAATACATTTAATTTTTGTTCCTTACTGATGGCCACAGCTAAATTCATCTGGGCCAAAGAAAGTTGAAATGAAGAGAAAGTGTCTGAAATGCAAACCGATCACTACTGGGTATGTTTTCCATAATCAGCAAACAGAAAAACACATATCAGAACTAAAATTCCCGCTGTTTTATTAAGTTTTTATCAGACTGGTGTAGGACAACAGTTAATTTATATCTAATGCATATGCTTCAAGGTCTTATCCATGCGCACATCCCTCAAACTCAAAGCATTATGACTTTCAAGCTTCTTGGATAGAAGTAAACAGACTTTAAATCTATACTAGCAAAGCAGCAAATGGGTTTGTCATGTCAAACTGCCATGTCTGATTTCTTCCTGATGTGGGACACAGATGACCCAACTACATACACAAACATACACATACACAAACTCTACCGTATTACCATCTAGAAAGGCTAGAAATTGATAGCAGCTTTTGTTGTATACTTTTAAAAAGGGTCATTTCTGGCCATCTACTCTTTCTCTCTTGTACCTACTGCAAATGTTTCTCCATTCCAACAGATCACCTGGAGTGATGATATCCAGCCTGAGTATCACAATCTCAGAAACACACACACACACACAGGCACCACAAGGAGATGAGAACTTCACTGCATTTTAACATTATAATTAACTGAACTTGTTACACCCTCAAGATTTTAGATTAAAAAAAATTTCCTATAAGATGTACTTTTGATATTGCATCGAGAAGGTAACAAAAAATTAAGAAGTGTGGGGGGAAAGCTCAAATGGACCGCAGTTCAGCTGGAGTCCATCAGCATGTACACTGATTTTTAGACTGGAACTGAAACTGTAAGAAATCTTGTGCATGGAAATCGATTCACAAATTAAGGACTGCATCCAAGAATAGGACAGAGGTCTAATGAAAAGATATTAAAAAAATAGATAATGACAAATATTAAAATATATAAATATATACATATAAGTTTAGGTCTGTATAAGTTTACAAAAGTCTCATATGCGCACCAAGGCTGCATTTTTCATCCAAAATACAGTAATATTATATATGTAGTAATATTGTCAAATATTATTACAACTTAATTGTTTTCTATTTGAATATATTTTAAAATGTAATTTATTCCTGTGATGCAAAGCTGAATTTTCAGCATCATTACTCCAGTCTTCAGTCACATGATCCTTCAGAAATCATTCTAATATACTGATTTGCTGCTCAAGAATCATTTCTTATTATTGTCAATGTTGAACAGTTGTGCTGCTTAATATTTTTGTGGAAAAACTATGAAAATATTTTATAAAAATAAATGGTGATATTTTTCTTCAGGATGAACAGACAGTTCAAAAGAATGGTATTTATTTGAAACAGAAATATTCTGTAACAATGTAAAAGTCTTAGGCTACCTGTCACTTATATACTGAACTGTTACAGGTGACCAGTTTCCTTTTTTATCTAAATATGTTTTAGATAAGCAAATACAGATATGTGATTAATTATGATTCATTTGACAAACAGCATTTAATGATAATTTTGTACTGGCTTTAATCAACAACTTACTAAGTTACATTAAAAATACTGAACATCTGTGTTTTGATCTCATTCTGTAAAGCCACAAACATGGATGCGTTTGCTTTAATAATGTTCTTGGTTTTCCCACGGGCTTATAATGTACTTGCTAGGGTATGTCAGTGTTTCTCTCATAATATCTGTTGAGCATCCACTTGGGTTCAATATTAACATCAGAGTATTGCGATAAAGAGCCTTCATCTAGCATGTCCTGTGAAGCACTGGACCTGCTCTCTCTTGCTCTGCTCTGTTGTTTATAGCTGTGAATGGACAGGGCAGCTGTAGGGTGGGTAGGATCACAGCAGGTCAAAACCACTTTAAGCGCTGACATATCTGCGCTGTTTCCCCTGTGCATTCTAATACTCTAAGCCACGGCTTCTCCAGAAGACTTATTTACATGCAGACACCACTGGAAACCAACTACAACAAAAGGTGTGTGTTTGAAAGAAAGAGACTGGGAGAAAGACATGTATAACCGCACAGCTATGCAAACACACGGACGGCAATACAAAAGGAAAAGTGTTGTCTAAATTTGTATTTTGCAAAAGGCTTGAAAATTGTTTGATCGCTTAGAAATGAGAGGCAGTTATATTCAACGAGCCCCACAATTTGTGGTGTCATTCATGTCTCTAGCACAAACAAGTACAGCTACATGTAAAAAGTGCTTACAGAGTAACATCATGTTCCTTTCTGGTGCACTTGTGCATATTGTGTGAAAATTACTAGGTTTACATGTTCATTACATAAATTAAAATATGGTAAAAATAAGGAGGCGAAAACTGGTATAATTTTCCATTTTCAAACAATTTCCAACTAGACTTCCATAAAACTGGACTATACAGGAATTGAGGGAAAAGTTGGAATAATTGTCTATTGTAATCAACAACATGCAACAGATGCTTAAAATGTGGAAAATTCCTTTAAATTTACATCAACGGAACGGAACAAGTGAAAACTATAATGAATTTTATCCAGACTCTATTCTGAGTGAAATTAGAGATTTGGCCGTGCATGGAGAGATCAGACGCATGCATGTCCCTTAATCCCAGTCCAGCTCACTTCCTGTCCCAGATGCTATCCAGAGAACCAGAGACAGAGAGCAGAAGAGTGCAGGAACACCATTAACACAGCCAGAGGAGGAGAGATAGAGTGGAAGGGAAAGAGGAAGGAGAAAAAGAGCAAGAAGAGGCAAGAAGAGAATATGCATGAAGGAGAACAATGGTACAGAGGAAAAAGAAATGAAGAGAAGAATGGAATAATAAATGAGAGAAAGGCTTCAAATAATTCAGAAACCATACAGCACACAAGCTTGTGCATATGAAATGATCTGGTTAAATCTTGCAATTTAGACTTTTTTCTCTCAATTCTGAGTTTATATCTCATAATTCGTTTTTTTCTTCTTGCAATTCTGAGTTTATATCTCACAATTCAGATTTTTCTCTCAATTCTGAGTTCATATCTCACAATTCAAACTTTTTTTCTCGCAAATCTGAATAATTCAAATCAGAACTGCATGATATAAACTGAATTGCAAGATATAAACTCAGAATTCTGACCTTTCTCACAATTACAAATTTACATCTCACAATTCTGAGTTCATATCTTGCAATTCTGACTTTTTACCTCTGAATTCTAAGTGTGCATTTCGCAATTGCAACTATTGATCTCATAATAATAAATAATACTTACTTTCTTGCAATTGTGTGTTTATACCTCACAATTCACACTTTCCTTCTCAGAATTGCGAGTTATAAACATATCTTGCAGTTATATCTCGCTAGCAGTTTATATCTCACAATTCTGTTTATATGTTACAATTCTGCGTTTGTCTCAGAATTCTAAGTTTATACATCTGAGTTTAAAAAAACTGTCTTTATTGTGAGATATAAACTCAGAATTGCTAGGGAAAAAGTTAGAATTGTGAGATTAAAAGTCGCAATTACCTTTTTATGATTTTATCTGGTGGCAGAAACAAGCTTCCACAGTCAACATTAATTGTGGTTTATTAACTATGGCTATTACAGAATCAGATCTAGATTTTTGGAACAACTTGGGGCTTTTTTATAAATGTGTAAAAGTCTAATGAAAATGTCAAAATGTTGAAAAGAGTTGCCAAAGTTTAATACCTAGGGTTAGGGAGTTGTTTAAATCACAAAATAACCAAAAACATCCTAGAATACCCAAGCACAATTTTCCACTTATTTGTTGTCTCCTGATATTAATTCAACCCTCATATCTCTCTCAGTCTGGCCTCCTGTCTATCAATGAAATCACAGATTATCATCACAGATGGAGCAGCCGATTCTCTTCAGTCATACTGAGAATGATAATCCTCAAGCTGTGCTAATCTATGTATGTAGTTGGAAAAATAAATCCAAAATGTCTCCTGTTTGAGAATCAAAATCAGGATAATTTTATTCATCACTGCGCTGCGTGTGTACTCACTTCTCACAGTGGCCGTCCTGGTGCAGTTATAAAGGATGGCAAGCTCTCCAAACACCTTTCCTGGTCCCATAGTGCACAGCTTCAATCCTTCTTTACTCACTTCAACTTTTCCCTCTGAAAAACACACACCACAACTGTAAACATCACAGTAAACACTTCTAAACAATATTTATAAATACTGAGATAGAGACGCATTTAATATTAAGTTCGGTTTAAAACCAGATCATAACAGTCAGAATAATGGTGAATTTCAAGACACCTGGGAAGAATGTCACCATCATTTTAATCTCAAATTTAAAAGTAAAAATATAAGGAAACTTTTTTGATAAAAAAAACAAGTGTAATCATATTTAAATTGGAAATGTTGTTTTAATTATTAAAAAAAGAAAATGGCAAAATCACAAAATTACAATGCAGAAATTGTAAAAAAATAGGCTTCATGCTCATAATAAAATATTTTTTGTTTTATTAAAAAAAAAATGAACAAAATGACTAATATAAATAATATATATATATAATAAATAAATTCATAAATAAAAAGTATGTATGTATTTTTATATGAAAAGTTAAATATATTCACCCTTAGAGATACACAACTTTTAAAGTTCATATTAAACACATATTAAGCATTCTCTTAAAGAACAGACAGAAGCGTTTAGTAGCCTTTAGTGTAACTGCACATTAAAATACACCTGTCTCTCTCTCTCTCAGAGGTGTCAACTGTAGATGGGCTGATATGATACATCGTGAGCAGCTTTTCTCACTTTCCAGCAGCTGATCACACAGACAGGTGACGACACAGGTGAACGACCATGTGAGATGAGAGAAAGCAGTGCAGAGAAAGATATTGAAAAGGTGTGAAGGGCATATCAAGGTTGTAGAGAGTAGAGATGCAAGAGAATGAGAGAAAAGAGAGAGAGAGTTGATGACCCTTCCCTTATGATGGACTATTTAATTTATCATTAATATTCAGCTCTGGCAGAACAGGATTATGGAGCAGAATGACTTGCATGTGGCCTTGACCTAAACAAACCTTTCTCTGCATTCATTATTATAAGGTCAAGGACATTGCTGTGAACAACTGATTACATTTCCCAACATGCACTAATGTGCTTCTCTGTCAAAGAATGGAAAATTACTTGCAATGCCACACAATGCACATTCACACACTGACTGACATGTAAAGAGCCGGCAGTGTAAGGCAGGTAACCTTCTGAGTTGCTCATACTGTTTGCTCTGTCATGGTTATTAAGCACTACTGTTCAGAGCGGCTCCTATTAATGCCCCTACAGCCAATAATATTTTACCCATGATTCACAGAGATAAGAAGAAGAGGAAGAGTGAGAGACAGAGACGTTTCCTTGACATGGGCTCTACTAAACAAACATTAATAACTCGGAGACAGATGCTAAGTGATTAAACAGGCAGGAATGAAATAATGCATGAAATGAAATAAAGAGACCGGACTGCAGATAAGGCCACTGAAGACAGATATTACATGATGAGAGATTGTCTTGTGTTTACTCTGCAGGCTGAAATGGACTCTGCATGCTGTACATCTGAGTAAAACAAAACACTGAGCAGGAAATAATGCGGGGTGGGACTTGATTTTATCCACTGGGATTTGATTGGACTGAGAAAAGTTAGCATGCGGTGCTATGATATTATTGGTTTATATTATTTTTTCCCACTGCTCATGGCTTTGTTTACATCAGAAGAAAAAAAGGAAATTGGAAAAGATTGTTTTTGGGGGGGGGATTATAACTTTTATTCAGTATGCACTCAACTGATCAAAAGTGACAGTAAAGACAATGGCTGCTGAAAATTCAGCTTTGCCATCACAGGAATAAATTACATTATGTACCTACTAGGGATGTGCATCTCATGTCTCAATCCGATACGATACGCATCTCGATGCATAGCCAATGATACAAAACATTAAAGATACATATGAAGCAGCTACCGATGCGATGCGTTTAAAATTCTACAAAAGACACATTTAATGTCCAAAAACACATTTTTTATCAAAATGTATATTTTACTCAGAATTATTGCGCTCCTATTCGATTACACTTTGTCTGTTTTGCATGCATGTGCGCAGCAGTGCTCGTTCACTCGCGTAAATATGTTTGCATGACTTTCTAACATTTACATATGAAAAATATTCCTGTGACATGTCAGTTATGCACTGAGGAAAACACAACGTCTCAAATGCATTAAACAGCACAGATATATTCGCAGTTTGTCATGGTGAATCGATTTGATCCATGATCGACATTAAGGGCTGCTTAAGAATAAGCGTGCACAAATTAGTGAGATTGTGTGAATTTAATTTGTCGTTTATGGAACCGCTTTAGCCCCGATTGATTTGTTAGGTTATTTCAAGTCAGGTTTTGGACTTTAATCACAGTTTTTCCTCGGGTCTCCGTAGTGTGGTGATTCGTCATATTCACGCAGCAGCAGCGGTGATGAGAGAACTCGCTTGAGAAACAGTTTAGAGAGGAGAAATCAACCTACATATAAAATATAATATAACATAATATAAATGAATCAGGTTTTAACGATGCAAATATGTTAGAAATGATGCATCGCGATGTAAATGACAACTTGTAGCCGATGCACACTTTTTAAACTGATGCATCGCTTCGTTAACTTTTTATGCCGACGCACCGAGCGAATCGAGGAATCTTCCCATCCCTAGTACCTACACATAAAAATACTTTCTTTTTTTTAAATATAGTAAAAAATAAGTACTGTCACACTTTTGCAATATTTACTATGTATACATTTAAATAATTGAAAATGTTTATTTATTTATTGAGTACTCAAAAAATAAGGTATCTGTTCTACTGGGGGTTCATCTTTTAGACAAATTCCCACACTAAAAGTCGGTAAAAGGGATTAAAAGTAAATCTTTAAAAAAGTTTTAAAGAAAAAGAAGCAAATGAAAAACCAGACAACTGTAGACAGAGACGTGAGTGAGGATGTGGGAAGATAAACAAGTGCACACATGTAGACCAGTGGAATAATTCATGGGACATTGTTCATTAAATTGGTTGACCAAATTGCAAGACGGCTTCAGTTGTCTGTCATACTGAGTGATCAGAATAAAAAGAAGCCATAACCTTCAACATAGCACAAGATAAGCCTAAAAGCAAGAGAACTTCTTCTGATATCAATGTCACATAAAAAGTTCCAAGTGCTACAATATTTACTGACAGATAAACAAAAGATGATAGTAAATTTACAACCCAGTCCATCAAAGTGACAGATAATGATTATTTAGCATCTCTGCACACACTCTCCCTGACAACCTGTCATGCTGGTTAACCACGGTTCTGATGTTATAAGTGATCGAAAATGTACAACATTTTGAGAACAGAACAGTCACCCAGCAGTGACTTCTATTAAATTTTTTCTCCTTAAAAACCTGAATAAATCAATTCATCAGTATGAAGTGATGAAGCTGTTTGGATGTTTGGAATGAGTCATTGTTGGAAAAACTGGTTACAGCTTGAGGCTCCCTTAGAGGACTATGGCTCCTGTGGTCAATCAATTCCTGTTCACTTGTCATCATTAAAGTCAGCATGAAATCAAAATATACCCTATTGGCTTTTTCAGTGCACATTCCTAGTCATATTGCACTTGATTCATCAGTGTATAACATTTTGAATAAAATAAAGTTTTCTTTATCAAAATGTAATGTAACTAGCTCAGCCTGTGAAATTGTTTCCCTTGCGAATGACTCTTACCCTGCTCCTTCATCCACCTACCGTAGCTCTATTACGCTATGTAATTGACTTTTTTTTCGAAATCTAAATCCCACCCTAGATTTTTTCTTATTGAATATCCAGTCAGATTTCAGAATGTAAAATATACTGGCATATATCTGACATTTCCACATATCGGCACTGGCTATTGGCTTTAAAAAAAAAAAAACATTTTGATAAAAACATTTTTTCTTCTTAAGGATAATGTGCCCTTGCGTGTCATGCATGAGGTCAATTTTGATTTCATGATTGAACACTTTCCATACGGAGGGTTTTTGTGGTTGGCTTCTCCAAATGGTTACTAGTAAATGACTTTTGGGTAGCATGAAATCATGCATCAGACACACAAGCTGCAATTTTAGAGCTGACATTATCTATTGTCATTAAGCGTGTCTTTATTTATTCAGATTGGGGCTAATTAGCATGTCGACTTCAGCACACAGGCTAATATGACATTCAAGGCACAATAATAGCATGGCATCATTTCCTGTCTAGGCTCTCCTATCGTAAGTCCGAACTAATTATCTCAGCTGAAATGTCCCTCTTGTGTGACTGAAAGCTTAAATAGTTTGCCCACACATGATATATCTCATCAACAAAATCTTCTTTTGGAGGTATAAAAATACAGGACTCGCTTAATGTGATTTTGGGCTTCAAATGGAAATGCTGGTCAGTTTAACTCGGATTAATATTATTGATCCTCTGACCTCCATCACTGACATTTTTCTCTGAAAGGGAGACCTCGATTTTGATGAAAGGATGATCTGAATAGAGGATTCCACCAGCATTAAAGTCATTCTGTATCTCACAAGCTCTTCACTGCTCTGCCTTTGGACTCTATATCGTTTATTTCATCTAGTCTCACAAGTACATCCTGGAAGACAGAAACCCTGCCATGAAAAGTTTGCTTTTCTTTCTAATAAAAAGTCCCAAAAGAATAGTCCTCGTTCTCCCTCTCTCCCATCTCCATTAGTGGTCGACCGATATTGTTTTTTTTTTTTGACAGCCGATGCCGATATCTTAGAGAGCCGATATAAAGCCGATATACATAAGTATATTTTTTATTTTAATTATAATATTAACTTATTTTAATTAATGTTTGAGAAAAAAATAATGACATTAAAAATAAATGTGTAAAATAAACATACTTATACTTTAGATGACAACTTCCTGATTCTATAATTCTATTACAGTATATTTCACAAATAAAGAAATATTTTAAAATATATGAACAAAAAGAAAGTAAACACTGTAACCAACAGGGCACTCGGTAATCTGGGAAGTTTGTGTGCTTTGGGAATCATATTTTTTCCAACTAAAGCCAAGGTAACACTCATTTTACATGCAGCACGCAGTAAAAATGACATGAATATGACAGTGCACAAATGCATAAATCAGCATAGTTTGAAATAACGAGTTTAAAGTTGATCACGCATCTCCAGTGAAGCTGAACTCTCCTCCTGTCCGGATTCAATTCGCACAGATCGACTGTCACGCAGAGCACACG